CGCCTCCACTGAGGTGCTGAACTTCTTCCTTCCCTTCTCCCTCCCATGCCTGCTTCCCATCCTTCCTCTCCCTTCACGCACTGCTTTAATCTCAGCCTCTGATGTTTCCAGCCACAACCAGGCTAACGCAGTCATGTTTCTTATTACCCTCTGCAATATCCCCTGCAGGCAGGGGCAAGTCCGGATTTGAGTGCAGCTGCATTCGCTCAGCAGAGAGTCCCTTATACAAGAAGGTCACCTTCATGTGGCTGAGCAGGTCTGCCTGGTATCACACAGCTCCAGAGAGCAGCAGAGGCTGAGCAAGCCCCAGGACCCAAGCGGCCTTGAGTTGCCCTGTGTCCGCTCAAAGGTGCGGTGCCGGCTTTGTCGCTCGAAGGAGGGTGATGCTGAGAGTGGCTGATGGACGGTTACTTGCTGGTTTTAGGGGGTTTCTGAATTTTGGCAGAGAGGGTTGACTGAGGGTCTGACTAAACTGGAAAGGACAAAAGGGTGGTCTGCTCCTGCTAGGGACAATTGTTAACCATGCAGGAGTGCTTCAAAGCACTGCGAAGAGCTGCCCGGGGAAACTTGCCGAGGGGTACTTTGAATTTAAGCTTATTCCCTCGGATGAACAAAAAGAAGGAGGTGTGCGCTTCTCTGGCAAGTGCTGTGGGCCTTGGAGTTGTGCCCCAAAAGTGTTTCTGTTTGTATTTCAGAGGCTGGGCCACTTCAGGCTTGTCAGCACAGAACAGGGTCCCAAATGCATAAAGCTTCAGTAGGAGAGATCTGTCCTACAAAGCGAGAAAAAGCATAAGTAGATTTAATTTGTGGCTCAGCCTGGGACTCCAAAGGGCCCTGGCTGGCAGGGCACCAGGCCAAGAATCAGGAAAAATGGTTTTGAGTCTCTGCCGGGTTCTGTGACAAACCGCGTGGCCTCTCTGAGCCTCAGCTTCACTAGCTGCACGCTGCACTTAAGTATGCTCAAATTCAGTGGCCTAAAATGTAAGGGTGACATTGCTGTCTAGATTTGCTTTTGTTATTTATGGCCTCGTTGAGGACCTTATCATTCTCAGTGACTCATCTCTTCCAGAGCTCCTCTGCAACAGATGAAATTTCACCCGGATAAAAGGCTTTATGCAGGCTGGCATTGGTCTAAGGGGTGGGAAAGATGAATGCCTCTTGTCACTGGGTCAGCTGCTTGCTTGCCAAACACTTATCTCTCTGAGATTTTAGCTTTGTTGAATGAAGTTGGTGATCAGGCTGTGAGATTTGGGACCGCCAGTCATTCTGGTGAGCTTGTCAGCACAGAACAGGGTCCCAAATGCATAAAGCTTCAGTAGGAGAGATCTGTCCTACAAAGCGAGAAAAAGGTGAGAAAAACTCTCCACAGAGGCTGCAAATTGGAGGATGGCTGATTTTTATGAACTGTCTGGAGAAGGAATATCGATAGAAATAATTCCCTGGCTTATCACAGCGAGAACCCAGATATCTCCCCTTCGCAGAGCTGTCGCGGTCTCCCACCATCCCGGTCAGCCCGTGGTGGCTGGACTGTCTCTTGCTTCACATACTCTGAGTCAACGTGTGGTTTGAAAGCCCGGGGATCAACTCCACAAGTCGTTGTGTCTGTTATCCCCTTCCTCGGTCAGGCCAGCTAATCAACTGATTTTCTGTAAAGAAGTCAGAACTATGAACTGTGTACATTGACTCCAGGAACATTTCTGAGTCACCCTTTCGAAGCAGTTTGGTTTAGGTGTCAGAGGAAAATGGTTCCTGTTCACCAGCATCTAAGAGATGACTATTTAACAGGCACCTGCCCAGTTCAAAAAGGCGTTGAGAAATAGGCTTGACTGTATGTTTTTTTGGGGTGTTTCTACCACCTGCAGCAGCCTGTAGGCTCTCCTCTGGTTGTCTATGAACTCTGCACTCTCCCTTTGAGGTGCTGGGTAGCTCAGCTTTGTTTCTCAGTCTTCAGCTCCTTTCCCTTCCTGCCTAATTGCTCCATCCGTGCCACGAGGAGTGGTTACCTGCAAATCCCTCTCGCCCCTTGTTTTCTTTCGCATAAATCCATTAGCTTGGTAGCCTCTACGTCTTCTCCAGTGCCCATTTTTCATATAAGTTCTTACTTTATCACAGGTGGTCCTCCTGGCCACCATCCCTGATGCGGTGAGATACAGATTCCACGTGTGTCGCTGCAGAGCGGTCATTGCAAACATGTTTTGTATTTCTAGCTCTATCTTGTATGGCAGCGCTGCCTAAAATAACCTTTGCTCCCCTGTTTTCATTCCACGTGGAAATCCTATTCATTCAAACTGACTGAAATATCTACATGCAGTGGAACATACGGATGAAGGTGTGAAGGACTCTTGTCAATAAATTTAGGTGGGGGTACACAGCTTGCCCTTTTTGTTTTTTTCTGCCCTATGTCTCTTGTGAATATAAACTGGGAAATTAGTATGAGAATTACATCACTGGAGAGAGGTGCAGCAAGAAGGGATCAGTCATAGGTGACGTTAGCTGGGGAAACCTGCCCCTGGGCTTTCTCTTGGACTGCTGTAAACCACAGCAAAGCGTATGCAAAAACCTGATTAAAGAGGCTTGCTTGTGCTTAAATACATGTATGTGTAAATGATTTTATTTAAAAAAAAAAACCCCAACTTTGGTGTCTTTGCAAAGTTGACATTAAAGCACTGGTTTCACAGTGTGAAGGAAAGACAAAATCAAAGGAATCCTACTTGAGGCTTGGTGTCAAATGGTGCTCGCTGCATTGTGGCTTTATAATGTAAACGTGGTCATGTCAGACCAGATATTAACGTTTTCCATTAATTTTACTTGTTGCGTAAACAAGATGGGATTATGTGTGTTTTTGCTTTTGAAACAGCATATTTAGCAAGAATGTGCTGCTGCTGGATCGCAATTAAAGGTTAACTACAGTCAGCTGTCATATTGGTCTCTTATCAGTTGTTTTCTATCTGTGAAGTCAATCTGCATATAATTCTCTCTCCTGGGATTTTGCAATTACGTCTGGGTAGTTTGATTTACCTTTAAGATGGTTAGAGTGAAAATAAATAGTAGACTCATGGAGATCATTGTCAGATCAAAAGGCACTGGGTTCATGCGTAGAAGTACCAGGTGTGTGGTCACCATCCTGTTCGTAGCTAATCCATCTGCACGTTCAGGGACTCAGAAGCGTACCTGGATTTGTCAAATGATGGAATGAGAAAAAAGAAGTCTTGGAAATAGAGCGACAGAGCAAAGCTTCATAATACTCTATAAACAGGGAAGTATTTTTCCATTACTGCTGCTCTTGCTATTTGTATTACCATAAATAGCATGTTACATGTGATACCCATACATGAGGGTATATCCCAGCAAGTATATTAGAAATAATGATACATGGTAATCAGGGTTAATCTGCCTTCCATTTTTACTTTCACATTTAGATATGTTCTGGTTTTTTTGAGAGAAATGAGCTAGGATGCACCTGTAAGTTGCTAGAGCATGTTTACTTCTTATATTAATTTGTTTTGTGATGACTCCAAAGGAGGTCAAGGTCCAGTTGCTTTACCTGCTCTGCAAACACCCAGTGACAAACAAGCACACAAAAGAGAAGGCAGGAAAGAAAGGGCTAGCAGAAAGCGTTTGATTATAAAGGAAGTTAATGCACATTTGATGTATCTTCACATGCCATTGTTTCTTTTAGCATTTTTGAATCATAATATCAGCTATGTGCAGCTAAGGCACATCCAAACCCAACTACTTGTTGTGTGGTTTCTTGTGGACATCAGTGCTAGAAATGCTTTATTTGCAGGGAAAAATTATTTTGATGTTAGAAAAGAAAATTAAAGGGAAAAAAATCTTCCCGCATTCCAGGTTTTTATCTTCTTTGAGATTAAAACTTTCATGGTAAACTCCTAGCTCAGACAGTGAAGTGTTAATTTCTTAATAAACAATAACAATGAACAACAATAACCAGTAATAATTTTCTTTCCCAATAACTTTCTTTTATTTGCTTGCTTAGTTTGCTTCCTCAGTTTTTCCCTTCTTCTAAATGCCTCCATCTGTTGAGATTTCGGTGTTGGGATTCAACATGGAACAGAACGCACAAAGACCTCACTCTCCATCTCTCCCTTATCCTTTTCAGCACCAAAGTGGTTGCGTGACCATGTGGCATCTGAGTCGTTTCCGTGGGTTTACTGTAAATGGCAGAGGTGTAATAAAATAGGAACGGGAGCACTTCAGTGCTACTGCACCGGTGAAGTCATTCACTTTGATGACATCAATACTTACGCACCCACTCTTTTGTCAAAATGTCCTCAGTATTATTTTTCAGAAGAAAGTTTGATCTTCCAGAGACCTATTCCTCTCCTGTTGTTATGATTATTTAGTGGGGTGGGATATTCTATGTTCTACTCATTTTTTTCTGTTCTCTTTCTGCCTGAAATGACATTTTGGGTCTAGACGTGTGGTTTTCGATGCTATATTAACAATCTGCTAATCCTCCGCGCACACTGAAACACAAATTCAAACAGAAGGTGAGGAAGGCTAGCTAATGAAACAGCTAAACCTCTGCTTGGTGTTTTTTCAAACCATACAGCTTGCTGTGGACACATGAATTTAGGGGGAAAAAAAAGTTCTTGCAAAAATATTTTTAGCTAATCCGCATGGCATTTTTAATATATTCTATATTATTTGTTTTACCTTTAAAAGTGTTTAAAGTGGCATTTTGTTTTGACATTTAAGATAAAAACAGAATTACTTTTTTCCCCGTTCATTTGACTTCATTTTTGCTCCAGATTTTGGGGGTTTAAAGGTGACACTTGAAGTCACAATAAACTGAACATCTCATGTTGATAGTTGCTGAAAAGAAAATGTGTGTGAAATCAAAATTTTCACAGGTTTGTTTTCTACTGGGTGTTCCATTCTTATATTTGATCTGAAGAACAAATCTATTCTTTTCCATAGTTCGTAGTTTATTAGTAAAGTAATGTAAGCATGTGTGATAGCAAACAGAGCAAACGTGAATGCTGTCCTTCCACACACTGCTTTTGTTACTGAACGGGTCGCAGACGCTGGCTCCAACGCTCAGGACGACTGCATGGCAAACAAAATCACTGGTGGGTGTCCCGGGATGGGAAACGCCGCTGCTGCTGCCTGTGAGTGAGGCGGAGCAGACGGGGAAGCTGCAGCAGGATCTTCCCTCCCAGCCACCTCCTGCAGGTCCTGACATGTGTAAAGGTATGCAGGACCTAATAAATCCGGTTAACATGCAACAAAAGTCATTATTACTGCCACGACTTTTGCTGTGGATCATAATTTCTCATGTCTGGAAAAATGCAGTAAGAGGAATTACCTGTCTTTGCTGAAATACCCGTGCTGGACACAGTCATCGTTTCCATGTCCCGCATAACTTGAAGTGTTGGAGGGAGCCCTGCCCCAAAGGTCCTGGTTAGAGTCTAACTCGAGCTGGTGAGA